GATATACTAAACTACTATCTAAATGAACAAAGAAAGCATATCCATACATTAAATGTAGCTTTAGCCATTAGACAAAACTGAAAGTAATCCATCAAGATTCACAAAATCCATTAGTCTATTAATCAGTTGGTTTTAGTAGATTCCCTAAAACACTTAAATAAATATCATAGAACGGATAACTCAAACCTCGTGGTAACTATGTCGCCATAATCGAAATGAACCTATTAACTACTGCTAGACAATTGTAGCGCAAGACTACCTAGAGAACGAGCTAAATTTTATAAGAATTTTGAATTTCTAAATAAACGATACGAGTTGCATACTTCTGAAGTTCAGTGTCGGCGCAACAGATATGTGAATACACTAAGATCGCCTACTATTATATTCTTGTTTAATGAGTTTATACAAAAGTCTACTAGATACAATGATCTCAGATACAAATAGTTGGCTATGGATTACTATTAGCTGTACTTAACAGTATTTTATGGTCTACGCTGACCATGTTTGGAACTTTGCAACATGTTCCAGACAAAAGAAGTTACATTCAACTGATCTACACTTGTGATCAGTACGAATATTAAAAAATTAACTATCCAGACATCAAATAATTACAAATAGTTGGCCAAAAGCCTTTATTTATAATGGTTGGACGAATAAATACTTGATCACTTAATTTCAGTAAAGCTTCATTCAATAAGTCGTTCTCTCATAGAGTAGTTCTTACAGTCTAGCGACGCAGTTCTTAATTGAAAAGTTGAGTACGACTGGAACTAGTCTCTAAAGGATCACCAGTATCATGGAAAACACAGGTTATGTCGACAATCAGGAACGAAAAGACAAGGATCTGTAGCTTTGACTGCCCAATCATCATGATTTTTGTTCAGATTAAGGGCTTAGTCAATTAAAATCCGGTCAACACTAACAAGCGGAAAAATATTTATAAGTTTACTTCGACGATAGCTACTTATTACTTTGTTTATTAGTGAGGCTTATTGCGACTGGTAAAGGTTTTGAGTTACACTTCAGTGAAACTACCCGGTTTCTTAAACTACAGGTGGTCTTGAGCGACGTTGTGTGTATGAAAGACCTTTGAAAGATTGGGTTTGGATGTTCTTGACAATCTAGGATCAAGACCGCAGAGCAAAGTGAAAAGATTTAAGGTCGATCACACTTGTGTAGCTTTGAAACCTTACCCCTGTCAATCGAAATATGTGGGTCATTATATTATTTAGGGTCGATCTTTTCTAACATTTTCTTTTGGTTAAGGGAGGTCAGCAACGCTGAAGACTATTTATCCGAGGGAAACATCTTACTGCCATCTCAACCCCTGTATAGTCAGCAATACGGTTTTGCTATCGGACCTCAAATTACTAATTTCACGTTTACCACTCTCTAACTAACTGGCTAAGATGATACCATTTAAAGGAATAAATGTTGCAGAAAATATAGCTTGATTGGCTCGTTAAAACAGTCACGAAGATGGAGACTGATTCGAATCCCCAAAACTTGATGATTGAAAATTGACTTCGTTTAATAATTGCCTCATCCTAGATACATTGATCAATCCACAACCCATTTTAACTTAGAAAAATAAAGAGTTTACAGAAATTACACTAATTATGTGTGAATGCAATAGAAATTATGTACATGGCAAAAATAAAAATAATTCATTTAAAATTCATATTAGTAGTAAGTTGTACAACTAGTTACGATTAGTACTACTACTGCTGCTACTAGTACTACTGATACCACTGATATTAACAACAGCAAACATTCATGTGGAAAAGTGCACAAAAAAATTACAATTATATAATATACATATGTATGTACGATAAACAAAAAAGAAACTACCGTGTACAACATATTCACCTACACCTGCCACTTTTAAAACAGATCTGAAAACAAAAGGAATATGAGAAATGCAAACAGCCAAGATATATGGAATAGGTATAATATATAAAAAAAGACACATATATATATACTAACATAACAGGAAAATATCAGAGTGAAATACATCGATGGTGAGAAAAAAATAGTCACTTCACTTGAATCAAAGGGTGATTGTTTTCTTTTTGTGATACATTAAAAGAAAAAAAGAAAAGACGAGATTTTGCGATTTTTGTAATGATCAGGGAAAATAAAAGAAAAGATTGTTCAACTTTTGTTATTGTAACGTGTAGAACAACAACAACAACATGGCATTCAAATTAACCAAATACATACTAGCTGATTGAACTCTGTCTAATTAGATGAATCCAATTATTCTGATAAATAGACTACTATAGTTCATCATTTAGATTTTGTTTAATAAAAAAAACTCATGTTTTTGTAAAAATATATTTGTCTGTTGCATAAGTGTTATGGTACTAAGGGATTAATTCAATGAAGGCTATCTTTATCTTTCTATGAATGAAGTCTTCCTTTAAATAAAAAACAACAACAACTCGATGGAATAATGAGAATTGTGAAAAATAAGATCAAAAATGTTTTTTTTGTCAAAAAAGTAGTCGAGTTTAGAACGAGAGAAAAAAATAGCGACAATAGATCTCCTTATTGCTAAACGATGATGACGGGGTAGTGGGGATGAGGGTAAGGACTAAAAGCATGTCAAAAAAAATAGAGCATCCTGTGTGCAATCATAAACTAGGACAGTCTACCACAATATAGTAGAGTATTAAAAATAATTTTTTTCTTCTTCTTCTTCTTCAAAATGGAACGTATTTGAGTGAATTTGTTTATAGAAATGAATAAAGAAATACTGAAAATACAATAATGATAACAATATTGATGTTTATAACAAAGTAAGGTAATAATCGAGAATGTATTGAAGCCAAATATGCTTCTTTTAAAAGTAAAAAGCAAAAAAAAAAAACTACAAGGCGGAAATATTCGAAGGTAAACAGGTTTCATTTTTAGGAAAGAAAAAAATGCACACATCAAGAGAGAGAGAGATACATGTTCATCTACATATATAAGTGGTAAAGAAGTTCGTCCATACAATGAATCATAATTGAAGTGATGATTTTTGCACATAAAGAAAGAAAGAGAAAAACAGATCCAATTTTGGTATGCATATATTCATTGTGTCGAAGAATTTTCATAGATAAACAAACACCGGATTAGAGTTGTTAGATATGCTGCAGAGTTAATACAATAATAGTAATAATAATAATACAAAAAAAACCCCTTAAAGTTTTATCATTTAATGTCCCCATGTAGGCAACAACTAATCATCACTACACTTAAGGTGTAGATGAGAAAAAGAAATTCAATGATAAATGACAAGATTTCTATTCTCTACTCAAAAAAAAGTTTACAAAACACAAAAAATGAGATCTAAGATAATCCCATTGATTTGTAGAAGAAAAACAAAGTCATGAAGAACAGTTAATATGATAATAAATAGTAGTATATATTGACTGTAATAGTAGTAGTAGTCGTAGTAGTAACAAAATGTAAACTAGATTTTACCAGTTAAATATACGTGTATATATGTATGGGTATAGATATCAAAAATATTATTGTTTTGAAACAACATACATATACTTCAACAGGGGGATTGGTTGGTTATGGAACAAACGAAGTGCAAGGTTGACAAGTGTTAAAATGTTGTTGTTTATTTTTATTAATGATAGATGACACTTAATACATACAAAAACAAAACATTAATGTCTACCTATCAAAAACAAAATTGAATAAGACGAGGGTAACATTCTTAAAAAAAAAGAATAATATAGAAATAATAATTGTAGAAAAAAAGAACTATTGAAACCACAGCCATACTTTTAGATTTGTTTACAAAAAAGAAAAACAAACTCGAAAGTTTCTTTTTTTTTTAAACCAGTCGGTTACTGACAAAAGAAAAGCTGAGAATAATATTTTAGAAAAGTACACACAAAAACAACCACACTTAATAGAGCTGCTGCTTTTTTGAATAGGGGAAGATGGATTCATATATATATATATGTGTGTATAAAAACAACCCTTAACATATGGACTAGTCGGACAGATCTAATGTAATATGGAAATAGAAATACATTCGGAATTATGAAACTTCATGAGTGAACAGATTAATGACTCGAATGACAACGATGATGATGATGATGATGATGACGATAATGAGGACGAGGAGGAACAGGACGAGAATAATAATGTAGACGACATTTTCTTTTTTTTTTAAATATTGATGATTCAAGATGATTAGTTTCATATAAAAAAGCCCGGCGCTGTTCAAAATTAATTAATAAATGCTCCATAATAATATGAAATGTTTTACTTTTCGGCGTGCGTGTGCGAGCGCGTGTAGAAAACACCTCACAACATACAAATAAAATGCATTACGTAAAAAATTGTAAAACCGGTGGAAAAAATGGTTGTATCTTTGTAGAAAATTAAAAAAAAAGGAAAACACAATTAACAAAATGAGATATCCTATGATACACAATTCACTGCTCCTCTCTACTTATTAGTAAAGTGGCAGTAATATTCAATGTTACTACATTGCCAGAGAAAAATAGGTAAAAACAAAACAATGGAATTTGTGTGATTAGAATACACATCGAGATTTTTAAATAGAGAGAAAGAGAAGAAGGAAACATAGAATCCACAAACACTCGATGATGTGGAAGTAGTAACAGTAATCTACCGTTGATTTTACACAAAATGCTTTCTACATATTGTTTTGCCCTAAATAAACACTGAGAACACAATCGTCACAGGTCGACAAGAAAATTTCCTTCTTAACATATAAAAGTTTACAACAACAAAAAATGGTTTTTAGTTATAAAAAAAACTGGAATTTACCGGTTTGATTTCTCATTTTTACATATAATATATCCATAGACATCAGTATTACTCTATTGATTCATCGGACCTTGTTGATAGTTGTTTCTTTTACGAGATACACAAAAACAATTAAATCCCATATAAATATTCCACCGTCGGTTTTATAACTACTCACTAAACACGATGCGTAGTATCTGAATTTTTATGAGTAAGACTCATGGATGTATTTGATCCGACTGCCGATACACATCCAGAGGTGGTACCCCGCCCCCACCTTGCATAATTTCTAATAGTTGATCTAATGTGGCACGTCTACGTAGACCAGCTGCCCTTAATTCGTCAGCTAAATGTGTAACCATATCGGTCAAGCGTAAATGAATAGTCTCTTCATTGAGTAAACGCTGGACAACACCAGCCAACTCACTACCAGGCGGTAATCGATCGGATATAGAAGTGTATGACTGTTGTTGTGGCTGGTGTTGATGATGAGGATGACTAGTATTATTATAATTATTAAGATGACTAGTCGTATTACCATTCAGTAAACCTGCTTCAGATGCCAATAAATTCAGATATTGTGATGTATCCATGCCGTTTAAACCATTCAACAAATTAGAAGCTAAATTGGCAACATGCAATGAATTATTAGCGTTGTTGTTGTTATTGTCTGTATTAAAATCATTACCATTTGTGATTACACTCTTATTGGCATTATTAATACCATTATTATTTGTATTAGTAGTATGCTGTGTAAGTGCAGCATTACCACCATTTGTGGTATTTGGACTATTAGTAGAGTGCAAAGCATTTTTTAGAGAGGCAGTAAGAGCAAAGAATTGTTCACGTTGTTGTATACTATCCAAAGGTATAGAATCATCTTGTAATTGTGTTTGTTGTTGACGTAGTAAATCGTTGAATAGCTGTGACTGAACTAGAAGAGCAGCTGCTGCGGGATTAAAAATGAATGGAAATCCAGAATTAGCATGTTGTGAAATTGTTGTATTGTTGTCATGAGTTGTTGAATTAGGCGTAGATGATACATGGTGTTTTTTTATCATTGTCTGAACAACGTGAATTACTGGTGAACAATGCAGTACCAGGTACAGAAGTAGTGGGAGTATTAGTTGTTGTATCATAATTGGACTGTTCAGTTTTATATTTTGTACCATTTAATGAATGAAAATTCGGTGTTAAGGAATGTGGTGTACGCGTTCTAGATAGACCAAAGTATAATGGTGAATCCGGAGCGTGTAATGATGAGGATAATGTAAGTCTGGCTGATGACAAACTACCAGGACCACCTGGTGTATTCGGTGTAGATTTACTTGTACTGATACGATCACCGGTTACTTGCATAGTTGTAGCATCAATATTTGGATAGATTACTAAAATTAAACGAGCCACACGTCGTAGAATATCGGCGTTACGAACAGCTTTTTGTGGATTATTCACCAATAAACGAACATCACGACGTAAATTCTTCCATTTATTGTAACAATGTTCCATGGTAAAACCTAACGATTCCATTTCTGTGCCAATAATTTGCCAAACTTGTTTATGCTTTTTTTGTATATTAAATTCATCCAAATGTTTTTCTACACAATCTAACAATGTTTGGACATTTTGATTTGACCAATGTACTTTCTTTTCAGTTGAATCAGTTGGATGACGTGGGCTATCAACATTTAACATGAATCCACGAGTTGTTCCACCGATATCGTCGTCTTCATCCTCCGGTGGTAACATTGTCACATCCAGTTGTTCGTCAACATCATCATCACAATGGTTGATTGTATTATTATTGCGATTATTTTCACTATTAATGTTGTTATTGTTGTTTACATGTTGACGAAGAGAAGAATATTTTAATGGCTCCAAATCCATTGGATCTTCATCATCATCTTCTACATCCTCTGGAAAACTCGGACTGGACTTCTCAGGACTTTTTGAGGTATAATTCATCACATGATCCATCATCTATAATGTGTCAATTAAACAGTAGTTATTAAGGTGCATGGTATTTTGAAATAGAATCAATAATGTATATTCTGGCGTATTGTATAATGATAAAGTTACTTGACTTCACAATCATCAGACTTTGGAGAGGATAGAACACACAGACAATATAGTCCTATTTGATGACTGACAAAACAGTTCTCCAAACACCTTGAGTAGCAACACAAACATAGTGAATATGTATTTCATTCTCCTTGAATGGAAAATGTTGCCTTAGAACCAGTCTGTATCAACGTCTAGGATGACCCTAAGGGTAAGGTAATTGAGCACGTTAGTCATTTTATATATCATTTAAGTTTCATCAGCTATGGTAGGCTGGGATTAATGACTGATAAGGTCTTATAATGGATCCAAGAAAATTATTTGGTTTTAGCTAACTTGCATTACTTGTGGCGACGGTCAAATGCCTGTCTAAAAACCAGGGAGTAAGGATGCTATCCAACAGATTGCTGTGGCTGTGAAACATGGCTTATGAAAATAAGAAACATAAAGATTGGAAGTAGGTATCTCTGAAGTGCTACTCGCGTACTATGGAACAGCAGAGTGAGCACTGTTGAAGTTAGGGATAGAGTAATAGGCAGGTCAGTTGATGAGGTCGTAAATGTTTATCGACTAAGGTAGTTAGGACGAGTGTTAGATATGCTCAACCCCCGTGTACGTTAATGCATAGTGGTGGGTTAAAAAGTCATGCATTACAAAACTAGGTGTGGCCGAAACGAGATGTGGCATAAGTTTAAAAAGTTAACTATGGTCGGAGATATGACTTAAAATCTATTACAGTGGTGCAGTTTGTTCAAACTATATTTCCAAAAATGTTGAGCTCTTTTATCACTGCATACTTCATATTGTTCCGGTTCGTTGTTTCCCATTCAGGTGCGTTTGTGAAAAGTTTACGACCTCTCTCGGTACAATCGGAGACATCGTGATTGCTCGTAATATGGATTGAAAAGAATGGACATCATTCAGATGTCGGTTTCTGAAATGCTAGCATCTAAGTGGCGACCACTCAATGTTTACCGTCAATATCGACCAAGAAATAATAAACAAAAACTCGCTGAAATACTTTGTGCTGAGAATTCTATATTGCAGCAAAAATATAATATAGAATAAAACCAATAATAATAAGCAAGACTCAATGTCCAAGTACATATCTGAATGGTAATATTTAGGCCACACATACTGAGTAGATATTCAAGATACTATCCGATTAGCTACACCGAATCAGATGTAATGGCCATGAACTCATGGGCCAATAGTTGGCTACCAGGTACCGAAACCGTCAAGCCTGAAACATATGTCGAGTTTCCATTTGACAGGTAGCCGTCTTTCTAAGAGTCAACAGATTTAGCTTATGTTTAGATATAATAAAGTTGACAATATTTTTAGTAAATCCCTGTTATCCAATCTTTGAACTTGCAAGACATGGTAACGAGTAAAATTAAATCAGTGCTGCACAGGTTTCGAAAAAATGTTTTAGAGCAGTTTATACGTTTCTTTTACTAACTGCACAAGCTCGGGACAATGAGAATCGATGACCTTGGAGGATGTCTTAGGTGTTAGGGTCTTGAAGTTAAATTACTTGATTATTTATATTTATTCGGAATGTTAAACACTAGAACTAATTCCTAAAACAGATAAACCATAGAATTCAAGGGTTGAAGTGCGTAGCAACTAAAGATCATTAACATGATTCAGGCATTTATATCGGTGGTTAATAAATCCGACTGAGTTTTTATTCTAACGAGTGATTACGCTAAGATTTATCATTATAAAAGATCATTAATTCCACTCCTTTAACTTGGGCATGAGCATTATTTTCAAGAATTAATTGAAAGTAGAGACCATGAAACTGTCAAGTATACTAGATCATAATATTAGACAAACCTTTGGTAACCGTGTCGGTGTTGTTGGCAAAACATTCAGTAGAAATGATACGGTACCTTACATGTACATATAACTAAACGCAACTTTCTATTCTCGAAATAGGTATCTGGGACTCTTCTTGAAGAACCATCTTTAATTTAGACGATGTAAAGCACATGCAGAACTTCTTAATACTTGTGTTTACGTATCATTGCATCATTTTCGAGTCTTGTATTACCTTAAACTCCAGTTTCTGCCACAATAACGAGGCCAAGCAACCAACCGTGCATGACACATGAAAGTTTACGAATTGTTTCATTCTCACATCAGCACGAGCGTTCTAATGCTAAATAGCACATGTCTATGTTTTGGGTGAAATAAATAATCCCAACTTCACATGTTTCGGTCTTGCTTACATTCGAGGTGTTCCTGACAAGAAACAACGGTATAGTTATGGAACTTAAGGGTATTGCCGAACTAAACAACACTGTAAGGCAAATGTGGACTTTTCACAGCTGGAATGTCAGCTACATACTCTGGGATTCAAGCAGCTACTATTTACAAAGGACTGTTTATTCATTTAAAACGAAGTCGTTATGATGAATGATATGGACGAACAGGTATTTGGCCAAGGACTTACCTGGAGAAATGACAGAATTAGTAGCTATACATAGAGCAAAAACTAAAGAAAGAAACGGATGTCCCACAACCGTTCTCCAGTCTATTTGGAGGCACTCCATCTGAGAAAGAGATGAAAAGCCTCGAAAGGACATGAACGGCTAGTTACACTGCAAACACTACAAACTACTTGAATAATGAAATCTAAAAACTGCAATGGTCCTTTTTAATAAAAATAACGAATGTAGCAAGATCAATAAAGAATATCACGGCAAACCAATAATAACTTAACCTGTACTTACAATGAAGACAAGAGTCACGAGTGCAAACAGTGCGCGCTTACTGCCGCGAAAAACAAAGGCACATCGGATTCAGATTCAGATGGTACAGAACAACCAATTTTTCAATATCCAATCTCGTAAATAATGTAGTAGCAGAAGATATTGACAACTTTTGGGAATCTGAATAAAACATCGCATTTTTTCCACGATCACGCATATGAAATTGTTCTTGTATTCACCGTTTTATAAATTAGTAGGCTTATATGTTCGTACACATCGTGACTTCTCTGTCTTCTGCCTCTTTTTGAGATATCCATGATATGGGTCGTATAATTAAATCAATTCTCAACTTCGTGTTATTTCTGAACGACGTATATTTAAATGCCATCTGGCGACAAATAGTCGGTAGCAGTTCCATCGCTATGTTTTTTCTAAGAGGCGACACTCCATGTGATCATGTTTCATACTAAACTATTATTGCTATGTCTTTCATATATAAATTCTTACTTTTTGTAACCAAGACCCTGTTGAGCGTGTGACTGTGTGCACTTATGTATGAGCTTTCAGATCCTTTCCCTTATTTGAGCAGCTAAGAAACCCTGCAAGATGAAATGAGCAACCCGAACAACTTCAGTTGAAAAAAGCAAGAAACCGATGGATTTTGTTGGTCTCATCGGTACTAGGTTTCCCGTGCAACTCACCCGTTTCGTGTTATATCTGTTGGCATGATATGCCTATATATTAGATCAAAGCATGTTCCTTGAAGGATCGTCTTTGAGTACTCTGATTGGTCAATTTCTAGTCAATCAGCGCCTTCAGATGGTTGAAAAATGCTTTAAAATCTCTAATGTTAATGGATGTGCTGAAGTTCTTCATGTTTTGGTTCTTACTTCCATCCAACCTTTTTTATTTGGAATGTATTTGCGTTCTTATCCAGCCGTGTTCTTTTTTGGGGACTATTTGAATAAAGTGACCGAAGAATACTAGTCATTAAATGTAGTTATTTCCTAATAAGATAGATTATAATAATATCTCTGCAGGAGAAACAAGTGACGCATGTTTAGCTAAAGAGTTTCGATTGTCAGTTCTTAATTATGGAACTTGATGGTCAATAAGTAAGTTGTTTGTGATCTTTGAACATTCTGTCTTCCTTCGTGTGCTTCTCTGAAGTGCATAGAAATAAGAGTGTGCCACGTTCACCGTAATGATGAAGGGAATGGGTAGCCAGATGAAAAGATACACCTGATTCACATGTGAGAATAAAAAAAACAACTGAATTTCCGTATTCCCGTTTGTGTGTATTAAAAATTTCTCATTTAATTTTCAGGACCTAAAACATTTATTGATTAAAATACGCGTGCTGTTGCTTTATTATAATGTTTCGAATTATTTGAATTATAGTACGAACTAAGAGTCCCGGAAATAACGCAATTGAATTAAGAAGTAAGACAAAAGCACAAACGCATGTACTGTATTTGGAATTCGAAATCGAGCATTCAACAAGTACAAAAGAATCATTAGTTAATTCAAACACCACATTCATGTATTATTCGACCACAACACGAATATGAAGGTTCAATCTCTTAGCCTTCGTTTTAACATAATTAAAAAAACATGTTGAAGGTCTAAAGATAGAGGACCGAGAATCATGCACTACTGCAGATATCTATTTAAAGAAAGTCAATTCGGATACGATTATTGATGGTCATTGAAATAACATTGAACGTCGGCCAAATTATCGTTGAAGTCGAACGCGCTGATACTTCGCACACTGATCACTAGGTTTTGAAATGCTTGCTGAGTTTCGTCAATGTCAAGGATAGCCAGCATGGATTGAAATGTATCCCATGGACCTGCCCAAGCGATAGTGTGAACATTATCTGAAGCTCATTATTAATTTTGACAGTAGCTGCTAAAATTAATTTTTTTGACCTGGACATATAAAATAATTCAGCACAATCAGGTTGTATTCAATGAAAACAAATTACTGCGTCCGTCTTCAAAGGGTACGAATCTTCTGTGAGCTACTCACAATCGAGACTATATGAAAACACAGATTTTGTACATAATTTATTCAGTACCAAGCTGCCCGCTTATTACACAGTTGAAAGCCTATCTGGTACAACATAAAGCACTATACAACAAAAAGGTCACTAAACAAAATTTTCAAGTACTCGAGAATCAGCCAGAGTACTT